AAATAGTTGTGCTGTTCCTCAAGAAGCTAATCATAGAATTCTCATATGAAACAGCATCCAGTCCTAGGTATATACCCAAAGAATTGAATCCAGGGACTGAAACAGGTACTCGCATGGGAATGTTGATTGTAGCATTACTCACAAAATATGAAAACAATCCAAGTGTTCATCAGCACATGAATAAACAAATGTGGTCACACATACAACAGAATGTTAATCTGCCATAAAGAGGAATGAAGCTCTGACATCCACTGGAAGATGCATGGACTTTGGAAACATTATGCTAAGTGAAATATGTCAGAAACTAAATAACATATATATATAATTCCATTTATATGAAACATCAAGAATAGGCAAATTCACAGAGACAGAGTAGAGATGATCAAGGTCTAGGGTGGAAAATACAGGGAGTTATTATAGTTTTAATTATACAAAGTTTCAGTTTAAAATGATAAAAATTTTCTAGGAAAAATAGTGGTGATGGTAACTTAACACTGTGTATGTGGTTAATTGCATTTGATTGCACATTTTAAAGTGGTTAAAATAGCACATTATTCACAGAACTGTGCAAAATCGATTTCTATTATTTAATTGACCCAGGCTAAGGTGTTTGTTATGGCAGCTGAAGCCCATGAATACATCATCTGACCCAGTGTTTTCCATGAAACCTGACACTTTTTCAATCAAGTTAGCTGGAAACTCCGGTCCCCAGAAGAACTGCAGGTACCAAAACAAGAGCTCCAGCAGGGGTTCAACCAGCACAGGTCCCACAGGGCAGCCTCGATGTCAGGCCCTGGACGGCATGTGAGGCTATAATGATACAACCACAACGTGAAAGTGTAAGTGTTTTTACTACTTACAGACACTGGGGAGCACTCGGCACACGTGGAGACCACAGATACAGAGGTCAGCGAGCCCAGGCAGGGAGGAGAGAAGAGAACGGTAAGCCAATGTCTTTAGTAAGTCCAGGTGTTATCTGACAGGTTTCCAGCAGGGAGCTTTAATGGATGTGTTTAAAGAAAGCAGCAAACACTGGGAGCAGGAGATCACACTGTGATTGAGAAGTGGTCACTTTAAATGTAAGGGCAAATGTCAGAATATCAGTTTAAAGAAAGTAGATGGAGAGAGAGGAGCCCAGCACACCAAGCAGGAGAGATGCCTCTTAGATTTTATCGCTGGCCACCAACTGCAGTCACTTGAACAAGATACAGTATTGAAAACTGCCATGGTGAGCAAGGCCTGCCTCTGATGTGAGGCAAATAAATTTACACTTTAAAAAATGAAGGCCAACGCAACATGACACTATGAGCACTCATGACATCCCGGGACACCAGCAGGGTGTGGTACATCGCCCTGGAGTCAGAATCCTGGGTTCTGGTCCCTGGGAGTGAGAAAATGAAAATGACTTGTCCCTACTCCCCTGGCATTGATCCTCCGACCCTGCTGCTCTGTCTTCTGCTCCCAAGCCCATGTGCAGTGCTCAGCCCCAGACATCACTGCCCCCAGGGTATACACAGTGCCACCTACTGCACACAAACACAAACTCACTGAAGGTGACAAAAATCTGCGTTCGGGACATCCGATCGTGAAAGAGGGAGAACAGTGAACGTAGAGCCACAGAGACTGGGACTCACAGGGCTGGAAGATGATGGCGCTGTAACATAACATATGTGTGACCTCGTTTGAAACGTGCAGATCCTTGTGGAATAAAACACGCAGCCTGGCCTGGGACTTTGGCCACCCACGCTTCCCTTCCAGTTCACCAGAGGGCGGCAGAGTCCCTCCAGCCTGGAGCCTTCCCAGGGGATGCAGACCTCCCTCAGCAGAACCAGTAGCCAAGCAGGTTCCACCTTCACCAGGGTCACCTCGGCCCAAGTCCTCAACGTCCTCCATGCTCCCCACACGGACTCTGTCAGCTCCTCCCTGACCTGGCGGCCGCCAACCTAACACCACTCCCTCTGCAGGCAGCTCCTGCCCCACACACCTGCTGCTTCCCTGGGCTCAGTTAAAAAGACATTTCCTAGGGCAGAGCTGGTGCACTCGACGCCACACTGCGCGCTTTCCCCTCGTAACCTCCCTCCATCCTCATCAACTCTTTCTGTCACTGCTCCCTAAATGCCCGCCTCTGCTCCATCTGTCCTGTTCTGTGGGGCATCCTAGGCCAAGCCTAGCGCTGACACAGAACAGCGGCTGCCTGACGGCCCACAACCTCCCCAGGAATCAGTCAGGCACCCTATGACCTGCCTGCCCGCTGCACCCTGAGGGGCTCAGCGCGCGTGTGACGGTCACACACATGCACCACATAGGATGTGTCTACCTACACCCGGCTGTCCCTTGGGAAGCAGACCTCTCCTGTGTCCCTGCCGGGAGAAGGGGGTATTATTGCTCTTTACTCCTAGAACACAACTCACCCCCACCCGCCTTCTCAGGTGTGAGCGACATCCCTCCAGAGAGGCTCTCTGGTGACTGCCTGTTCCTCCTCTACAGAGAGCATCTTGGCCGGGTGAAAACCCTCAGGACAGACCCCTGGGTATGTCAGCACATGGAGGGCTGAGCCCATCACGACCACGGAGTCAGTTGGGATGAATCTCTCCAGCTCTGAACCCCTGCTCTGTCCCAGGCTCCCCTTCCTGTGTCTCAACGAGCCATGTTCCATGGGGTTCCTGGGTAACTCCCCTCTTCCTCCTGCACGACCACAGGGAAGGTGTGGTGTCCACAGGACAATCAGACGGCCAGGGAAGAGAGGACACCAAAGATGGTCAGGAAGAGATGAGAAACCCATCCACCAGTCCCAAGGGAGCAATAGAGTGACTGAGAACTGTCCCTTTGACCATGGGAGTCACAGCCCCCACTAAGCAATCAGCACATGCCACTCCTCCCAAGAGGCATGAGAGATTCAACCTGCACACCTCCAGTAAGGACATTTTCCTCTGGGACACCCAGGTCCTGAATGTCCATCCTTGGAAGTTGCAGCCAAGCTAGACACAATTAGAGAAAGCAAGGGTCCCTGTCACCAGGCAACACACAGCTCACCCACAGCACAATGTGGTGTCCCTATAACAGGGACCTGATGCAGCTCCAGCCTCCTGCACTGAAGGGGAGAGCCAGATGGGGATGAAAGAGGGCAAGGGGTGTGAATGTGCACCCTGACCCAGAGCCACTGGGACAGCAGGAAGCTGAGGCCCAGAGCTGTGCTTGCCCAACCTACAGGGTATGTATGTGACTCTGTGTGTCTGTGCACGTCTCTTTTGTGTGTATGTTTGTGGTTTTGCACATAGTGTGTAGCGAGGTTTGGTGACAAAATCACTGCTGAAAAAGGCAGAGGCCTCCACAATTCCCAGGGACCTGACACACAGACAAAAGGAAAAAGAGAAGGAGGGACAAAGAGGCAGGACTGAGAGGGGAGGGGATAGAGAGGTGACCTGGGCACAGACCCCGCCCATAAGCCTGAGAAGTGCTCCTGCCCCGGGAAGAGGCTCAGCACAGAAGGAGGAAGGACAGCACAGCTGACAGCTGTGCTCGGAAAGATTCTGGATCCCAGACTCATCTCCACAGAGGAGAACACACAGGCGGAGCAGGCCATGGGGCCCCTCTCAGCCTCTCCCTGCACACTGCACATCACCTGGAAGGAGCTTCTACTTACAGGTGAGGAGAGAACTTCCTGGGAGAGGACAGGAGGAGGAAGCAGAATGATTGGATGGGGTCTCCTGGAGAGGAAGGGGTTCTAAAAAATAAAATAATCCAGCACTTTGGGAGGCTGAGGTGGATGGATCATGAAGTCAGGAGTTCAAGAGCAGTCTGGTCAACACAGTGAAGCCCCGTCTCTACTAAAAACGGAAAAAGTTAACCAGGTGTGGTGGTGAGCTCCTGTAATCCTAGCTACTCAGGAGGCTGAGGCAGGAGAATTGCATGAATCTGGGAGGCAGAGGTTGCAGTGAGCCGAGATCGCGCCACTGCATGCCAGCCTGGGAGATAGTATGAGACTCCATCTCAAAAAGAAAAAATAAAATAAAGAAAGAAAGAAAAGAAGGCTCTGTTGGAGCCTGGATTGGGGAAAATATACCAGAGAGGGACAGGGTTGCAACAGAAAAATCACATTGAACTGGAATTGGTAATAGGTAGGAAAATCTCAAGTGTTCTGTTCTCCTGGTTAATCATCACTGGCCACCATATTTTGAAAAATCATCATAATAATAACTATTATCGGATGACACTTCAAATGAAAATATAAGCAGGACATGAAACACTGTCCTCAGCAAAAAACCTCAATAATTGGGGAAAGAAAAAAAATAGCCCTGGCTGGGAGGTTCCTGGGAACCCTCACATCTGCAGGAGTCTGCAGCCTGTCCCAGGCACTGGGGTGCAACCAAGATCACAAACGTCTCTGTCCTCACGGAACTCATGCTCTCATGGGCAGGAAGACAGACATGCAAAGAGATCTGGAATGTGAGATCAGGTGTTGACAAGAGCTCCGGTGGGAGCAGAGCATGGAAAGGTCAGAAAGGGAAGACCCAGGGTCTCTGAAGGAGGTGTCAGGAAAGAAGTCTAAGGACGCCCTGATGTGAGCAGGACCTGTGGGTGTTGTGGAGGGAGCCATACAGGGGAAGAGGATTTGTAAGAGAAAAATGCCGAGGTCAGAAGTGTTGAATGAATGGGGGTCGTGCCGCTGACCTTGACCCAGTAGGAAAGTAGGACAAAAACACAACACACAAACATACACACAAAGAGAGGTGTGTGTGTTTGTGTGTGTGTGTCTACAAGGCTGATGATTGAAGAGATCTTCTCAGGACCTAGGGCCTCATCTTTTTACCCCCAATACATAGGTCTCAATATTGACTGATGCTCTCTCCACCTCCTAGCATCACTTTTAATCTTCTGGAACCCGCCCACCACTGCCCAAGTCATGATTGAAGCCCAGCCAACCAAAGTTTCTGAGGGGAAGGATGTTCTGCTACTTGTCTACAATTTGCCCCAGAATCTTACTGGCTACAGCTGGTACAAAGGGCAAATAATGGACCTCCAGCATTACATTGCAGCATATACAATAGACACTGAAATGATTGTATTTGGGCCTGCATACAGTGGACGAGAAACAGTATATTCCAATGCATCCCTGCTGATCCAGAATGTCACCAAGAATGACACAGGATCCTACACCATTCAAATAACAAAGCAAGGTGATGAGACTAAAGGAGTAACTGGACATTTCACCTTATACCGTGAGTGATTCCACATGATCCCTGGGTGTTGGGGGTTGGGAGTCACTTTTACTTTGCACACACAGAATGGTCAGGCCTGGACTGTGCCTGTGTCCCTCTCTGCATTATATCCCATGTTGCGGTTTTGGCATTTAGTGCAGGACACACACAGAGGAGACAAACCACAACAGATAAGAATTCCTGTCCTGCCTCCAGACACTTGCTGCACAGGAAGGACAGTCTGATGGTGGGGGAGGGGGTGTTCAGCAGGAGGAGATCAGTCTCAGCCAAGCACCTCATGCCCTCTTCATAAACTTGACCCTGAGAAAGACCCTGGAGAACTGAGTAGGGCTTTGCCTAAGAGGCCCCTTGAGATACTCTCAGAAAAGCTCAGCCCTAGAAACCTCAACCCCAGACCGCTGTCCCTAAATCCTTACTCCAGATAAAGTGGAGGAGCCTGTGCCAGGGCTGGGTTGTGGCAGGGCTTACTGGGACCAAGGATTCGCCAGCTGTCTGACGACTGTGTCTCCTGGATCTGCTCACCAGCCAGGGCTCAGCCCTCAGAGCCTCATCTGGGCAAGGACAGAGCTTTCTTCACCTGACACTCAGAGTGGAGAGGACAGAAAGACAAGCTTTGTAGGCCATCAGTCAACTGCCTTGTGAGGCTTAGGACACTCCATAGGAAGTCTAATGTCCCCAGAAGCAGAAACAGAAGACAGAAAATGTACTTGGCAGCAACTTATCCACAGGGATCTGACCTAAAGGTGCGCCCTCATGGAAGTGAAAGTGAATAATAATAAATGCTTTTTGTGTGAACACCTCCACTGTGCCAAGCATTAGGTCAGGTGACTGTGAAGAATTTACAATTTATTCACAGATAGCATGAAAAGCCACAGTCCATTCGCCATTTAGCTTATTTGACTGAGAGAAAACTGAGGCACAGGAAGGCACAGTCACTGAACCAGAGTCACACAAACACAAAAGGCAGATCAGGGTCACATGAGGTCTGTCTGCAGCCACAGGCCCATCCTCTCCTCCACCAGAAGTGAGGGATTACTGGGTTCCAAGGACCCCATAGTCATTTATTGGCTCAAATCCTCTCTTCTTCGACATCCAAACCTCAGAGGAGGGAGAGCAAATGGTCAGCTGATTAGTCTGCACTCCAGAACTAAATCACCTGCCTCAACTGTCAGAGTCAGTGCAGAAAATGTCCAGGCCTCCCCCTCAGATCTTAACCCCTATCACTGAACCTGAAATCCTATGTTTCCCAAAGTGTCTATGTCACTGGCATAACAGGATAAAGGACAGGACCTTGTGTTCTTTCCCCACTCACACCCTGCACTAGCATAGGCCCAGTGAGAGACACACACTCAGGTGCTCTCACATAGCAAATGAAGGAATTGAATGAAGGAATGAATGATCCATAACCTCTTTAGAGACTGGATCTCAGATGCAGAATCCTAGGAGGTCTAGGTCACACCTTTCCCTTGTCCTTCAGTGGCTGACACCCATCTTTCATCCCCCCACTACCTCTTGCCCCTAAAGACACCCCACCTCATGTAAGTCGAAACCCTTTGGCCACTGGAGGGTTCTCAGGGCTCCCTGGTCCTGGACTGTGGCAATGGGAGCACCTGGTCCTTGGGGTCTCTGAAGTCACTGTAGCCCCCAGTGTTCACTGCCATGCTGTCTCTGCCTCTCTCTGCTTCTCTGTGTCCCTCATCTTCCTCCCACTTCATTCTAACTGGCAAGCCCTGTCCTGCACAGCTTCTTCCTCCACCCCTAGGCCTTCCCCAGACACTCCCTCTAACTAGGCTGACTTGTATTCCCTTCCTGCTAACACTGTGGAATGATCCACCTCCCAGGTAATAGGAAAGGTATAGAAATGACCTGGAGTTTCCACTCCTGCCAGGCTTCATCTCGAGCCAATGTCCACAAGTCACTAAGAGAATGAGCTTCCACTGTATCCCCATCCAGCGCTCTTTCCTGTTGTGAGGCTGATCTGTGCACAAGACCGTGGGACAGGGATAGGCAGCTACTCCGTCCATTCTTATAATTCCCAGACAAGTTTTTCTGGCCTCCTGCACAAACAAAACCAATTAATCCAGATAGTGATTTGCAGTAAAGAAAGATTTTAATGACTCCAAGTCTGCCAAATAGGAGGACGGAGGTATATTATTACTCAAATAAGCCTCCATAGTGGATCAGGGGTTAGAGATTTTTTTTTTTTTAATTTTAAAATCTTTTTTTTTAATGTACTTTAAGTTCTAGGGTACATGTGCACAACGTGCAAGTTTGTTAAATATGTGTATATTTGCCATGTTAGTGTGCTGCACCCATCAATTCGTGATTTACATCAGGTATAACTATCATTGCAACCCAACCCCCAACCCGTCACCATAATAGGCCCACGTGTGTGATGTTCCCCTTCCCGCGTCCAAGTGATCTTATTGTTCAGTTCTCACCTATGAGTGAGAATACATGGTGTTTGGTTTTCTGTTCTTGTGATAGTTTGCTGAGAATGATGGTTTCCAGCTGCATCCATGTCCCTACAAAGGACACAAACTCATCCTTTTTTATGGCTACATAGTATTCCATGGTGTATATATGCCAAATTTTCTTAATCCAGTCTGTCACTGATGGACATTTGGGTTGATTCCAAGTCTTTGCTATTGTGAATAGTGCTGCAATAAGCATACGTGTGCATGTGTCTTTATAATAGCATGATTTATAATCCTTTCGGTATATACCTAGTAATGGGATGACTGAGTCATATGGTACTTCTAGTTCTAGATCCTTGAGGAATCACCATATTGTTTTCCACAATGGTTGAACTAGTTTACAATCCCACCAACAGTGTAAAAATGTTCTTATTTCTCCACATCCTCTCCAGCACCTGTTGTTTCCTGACTTTTAAATGATTGCCATTCTAACTGGTGTGAGATGGTATCTCATTGTGGTTTTGATTTGCATTTCTCTGATGGCCAGTGATGATGAGCATTTTTTCATGTGTCTGTTGGCTGTATGAATGTCTTCTTTTGAGAAGTGTCTCTTCATATCCTTCGCCCACTTTTTGATGGGGTTGTTTGTTTTTCTCTTGTAAATTTGTTTGAGTTCTTTGTAGGTTCTGGATATTAGGTCTTTGTCAGATGAGTAGATTGCGAAATATTTTTCCCATTCTGTAGGTTACCTGTTCCCTCTGATCATAGTTTCTCTTGCTGTGCAGAAACTCTTTAGTTTAATTAGATCCTATTTGTCAATTTTGGCTTTTGTTGCCGTTGCTTTTGGTGTTTTAGACATGAAGTCCTTGCCCATGCCTATGTCCTGAATAGCATTACCTAGGTTTTCTTCTAGGGTTTTTATGATATTAGGCCTAACTTTTAAGTCTCTAATCCATCTTGAATTAATTTTTGTATAAGGAGTAAGGAAAGGATCCAGTTTCAGCTTTCTTCTTATGGCTAGCCAATTTTCCCAGTACCATTTATTAAATAGGGAATCCTTTCCCCATTTCTTGTTTTTGTCAGGTTTGTCAAAGTTCAGATGGCTGTAGATGTGTGGTAGTATTTCTGAGGGATCTGTTCTGTTCCATTGGTCTATATCTCTGTTTTGGTATCAGTACCATGATGTTTTGGTTACTGTAGCCTTGTAGTATAGTTTGAAGTCAGGTAGCGTGATGCCTCCAGCTTTGTTCTTTTGACTTAGGATTGTCTTGGCAATGCAGGCTCTTTTTTGGATCCATATGAACTTTAAAGTAGTTTTTTCCAATTTTGTGAAGAAACTCATTGGTAGCTGGATGGGGATGGCATTGAATCTATAAATGACCTTGGGCAGTATGGCCATTTTCACGATGTTGATTCTTCCTATCCATGAGCATGGTATGTTCTTCCATTTGTTGGTGTCCTCTTTTATTTCACTGAGCAGTGGCTTGTAGTCCTCCTTAAAGAGGTCCTTTATATCCCTTGTAAGTTGGATTCCTAGGTATTTTATTCTCTTTGAAGCAATTGTGAATGGAAGTTCATTCATGATTTGGCTGTCTGTTTGTCTGTTACTGGTGTATAAGAATGCTTGTGATTTTTGCACATTAATTTTGTGTCCAGAGACTTTGCTGAAGTTGCTTATCAGCTTAAGGAGATTTTCGGCAGAGATGATGGGGTTTTCTAAATATACAATCATGTCATCTGCAAACAGGGACAATTTGACTTCTTCCTTTCCTAACTGAATACCCTTGATTTCTTTATCTTGCCTGATTGCCCTAGCCACAACTTCCAACATTATGTTGAATAGGAGTGGGGAGAGAGGACATCCCTGTCTTGTGCCAGGGAATGGAAAAAAAACTGGAATGTTTCCAGTTTTTGCCCATTCAGTATGATATTGGCTGTGGGGTTGTCACAAATAGCTCTTGTTATTTTGAGATACGTTCCATCAGTACAGAATTTATTGAGAGTTTTTAGCATGAAGTACTTTTGAATTTTGTATAAGACCTTATCTGCATCTATCGAAATAATCATGTGGTTATTTTCTTTGGTTCTGTTTATATGCAGGATTACGTTTATTGATTTGTGTAGGTTGAACCAGCCTTGCATTCCAGGATGAAGCCCACTTGATCATGGTGGATAAGCTTTTTGATGTGCTGCTGGATCCAGTTTGCCAGTATTGTATTGAGGATTTTTGCATTGATGTTCATCAGGGATATTGGTCTAAAATTTTCTTTTTTTGTTGCTGTGTCTCTGCCAGACTTTGGTATCAGGATGATACTGGCCTCATAAAATGAGTCAGGGAAGATTCCCTCTTTCTATTGATTGGAATAGTTTCAGAAGGAAAGGTACCAGCTGTGAACATTAGACAGAGATTTTCAAGGATAGTTTCAGAGGCACAGGACTAAAAGATCGGTACTGCTGATTGTTTGGGGATGGAATCATGCAGGCAGAGGGAAGTGATCTGTTTTTGCTTCAATTCGCCTCTAGGTGGGGACCACGTGACTGGCTGAGCCATTAGTTAAGGGTATAGATGATGTCAGCGGGTTGCCAGAATGCAAAGAACGAGAAACATCTCAAAAGACCAATCTCAGGTTCTGTAATAGTGATGTTATCATAGGAGCAATTAGTTACGAATTTTGTAAACTCTGGGCAAATGACATTTGAGCAGTAAGGGATTATAGAAACTGTGCCTACATTTTAGCAGAATTCACTGCCCTCCTATAATCTTACTCTCATGGTCTTTCACCAGTTTTACAAAGACAATCCCTGAGCAAAATAAGGGTATTAGTGTTATGGAGGAAGTAGTATCATTGTTTCTTCAAAGTTCAACCATAAACTAAATTCCTCCCATGGTTAGCCTGGCCTATGTCTAGGAATGAGTGAGGACAAGCAGCCTGAGACTAGATGCCAGATGGAGTCAGCCATGCTAGTTTGCTGTCACTGTTGTAATCTTTGCACTGACTCACCAGGGTGTCATAGGCTGGGCAGGCTTGTAGTCTCCAAAGCCCATGGGCTGATTTCACCCGTTTCACTCGTGACTCCATCCTCAACCTACTATGGAACTCGCATTCTCCAGTCACTTTCTAGAGACTTCTGGTTTCCTGTCAGGCATATAAGAAGCTTGTAATTTGTCACTTGGTTAACAGTAAGTAAACAGTTGAACAAACTCAAAGTCAACAACTCGTTAAAATCCCTCAGAGACGGCCAGGCACAGTGGCTCACGTCTGTAATCCCAACACTTTGGGAGGCCGAGGCGGGCGAGTCACGAGTTCAGGAGATCGAGACCTTCCTGGCGAACACGGTGAAACCCCATCTCTACTAAAAATACAAACAAATGAGCCGGGCGTGCTGACGGGTGCCTGTAGTCCCAGCTACACGCGAGGCTGAGGCAGGAGAATAGCATGAACCCAGGAATCAGAGCTTGCCGTGAGCCAAGATGGTGCCACTGCACTCCAGCCTGGGCAAAAGAGTGAGACTCCATCTCAGAAAAAAAAAATGCTGTTAGAGAAATGAAGAATGCTTTTGATGCTTACTGGTAGAATGCACACAGCTGAGGAAAGAATCCCTAGCTTGAGGATGTGTCAATAGAAACTTCCAAAAATGAAACAGGAAAGTTCAAAAAGAGTAGGGGAAAAAATGGAGCAATATATTCCACTTCATATTTATCATTTTGTATTGACAATAGCAATTTTTAAATTTTGTAGTTATGGGGCAACTACCAAGGCTGTAACATTCACATAATGGGAATACTGTTGGGTTCCGGGACCTGTTGGAGGTGGCCAGGGGGTGCTATCTGATGGTTTTCCTACCTGGGCCACATTCGATTCTTTCCCCATGATGATGCCATTTTCATAAGTTGGGATTCTTCGTGTGGGGGACATATGACCCAATGGCATCTCACTTAGACTCTTCCTAATTCGCACAAACTTAAACTCTAGTTGTATTTCCTGAGGTTGAGAGAAAATGAAGACAGCACTTCACATACCTGTTTTGGGCTCCTCCCCATTTTTCCTAACCTTGCACAGAAATTAGAAACAGGGAGTTCTTTCTATATTTACTAACATAACACACATCACTTCTTTTAATTCAGCATCATTCCTCCCTTTACGTAATTGACACACTGACCAGTTCTGTCCTTTTAACGGGACTCTTTCTACTTAAGGACTTGCTAATTTCAAATCACCTGTGGCATCTTTCTTTGAGCATAATGTGATTCTGCTGAATTCACCCCACACCTAAACCTTAATTGGGTATCAAGAGAAATATTATACCAGCAATTGATCTTAGATATTTGGACCATCAGTAAAAATTTCCACTGATGACAACATTTTAATGTTTCCTTCAAATTTTGTTTTGTTTTGTTTTGTTTTGTTACTAGAGTCACACCATAACATGAGGTCTAAACGCCTGACAACTTTTTATGGGAAAATTACAATATTACAAATTGAGCATCCCAAATTCAGAAATCCAAAATCTGAAATGCACCAAAATCCAACACTTCTGACCACTGATGTGGTGCTAAAAAGAAGTGCTAACTGGAGCATTTTGGATTTAAAATTTTTCAGATGTGGGATGCTAACCCAGTACATCTACTGCAAATATTC